TAAATACGAATGACATATCAGACACAAACCGCTAGACATTAACTAATTAGGAATTATCCCTTTTTTATTATCAAAAACAATGAATCTGACATTTATTTCAATTAAAAATTAATTTTTATACTTTCTTTTTGGAGTTTACAATACAAACAATGAAAGAAATCAACGCTTTATTTGTTTGTTAATTATTTGCATTAAATGGTTATTAAAATCAATTCATTTGAAAAAACAATGCCTTCTTTTAAACTACTATTTATATTGAAGATGCGATCGATTTATCATTTAATTATCGTTCAGATAAATAATAAAAAAACAGAAATCGTTTCATAAGTTGGGGCCAAACGGGCGCTCAATTGGTGTCGGCTTTGGCCACTTCGTCGAAGTTCTCGACCAGATCTGGCACTTCGTCGTCGTCTTCCTCGATGGTAGTGTTGGCCAAATCGGTGCCAACGCTCTGAACGTTAGCTAATTGTTTCAAATGAGAAAAGTTTTCGGCTCTCAATTGACTCAGTATTCCGGGAACCATATCAGCGATCCGTTTGCTCTCCGCCTGACCGGTGATGGCGAAAGTGTTGGCCGCCAACGAGGCCTGAACTTTGGGGTTATTGAAGTGTATGACTGTTCCGTCATCTTTGATCATATTTACCTATTTATTACACAATACATCACATGTTAGACACTATAAGACTCGACCGACTATTTGCCGGTCATATAAGGCATGGCTTATAATAATAGCAAATCACTCATTACTTCCTCAATGCCTGGAATTGGGTTAACCGTCAGTTTCTTCAGTGAGTTCTGCAGTTTCTTATCATCAGTGGTGGCCGTCCTGTGGACCACTTTCTTCTTCCTTCGGGCGGTTCCCTAAACAACGATAACAAGTGATCAATGAATGGGCGGATGAGGGCTGGGGTCGAGACATACCTTTCCTCCGATGCGGACCTGAGACGACAATTTGTTCAACTTTTCCGCATTCATCGCTTCTTCGGTTCAATTCTTTGTATACTTTATATAATCTATTCATTCAAATCAAACACAAATTCAATTCAATTTCAACACTAAATGCAATCAATCGTCAAATGAGTGAAGACTTCACTTCATTTAATCGCTCAACAAATAGTCAAAAATAGGTTTAAATGTGAATACAATCAAAAAACTTACCCTTAAATTAGACTAAACTAATCATTAATATGAATACAAACCAAAAATTAAGTATAAATACAGTTATAATCAAATGTGTATTCAATTGAAACACAATTAGTTTTTGGGATTATATCTAAACAAATGAATGAATGAATTGAATGTAAAGCATGTGTTCAAGCATTCAATCAATCCATGCATTGCTTTCAATGGCAAAGCATTGCATTCCCATTGAAATGCACTCAAATGGCGGCAATACTATACACTACCCATAGATGGCTCTCAAACACCACATCCACTACTAATTTACTTTAAATCAGTGTTTAATTCAAATCAATTCACTCAACCATTGCTGTAATTAATTAAAATTATTGCAAACTATTTGATAATTTATTGAGAATAATATTTACTTAGGAAAACAATTGTGAAAATTAAGATAAATTTATTTGATTTCTGAACCAATGGTCAAAATGTTTCGTAACAAAAGAAAGTTATCATAAAATTTTAAGTTATTTCATAAGAGATTATGATTTAGTTATACATATAGTTATATAAATGAATTTCACATAATTTTAATATAATTTCTGATAATTTGTCGAAATGTTTAAAAAACAATATTTATTATCGAATACTAGAGAAGAGATTGAGAGCAGATTTGGCTTCTTTTTGAGACCGCGTTTTACTGAATACATTCCAAAACCTCAACGTCTCGTCGCCCGCACCCGTCACTATCGACTCCCCGTCCGGAGACATCGCCTGCAATACAACACATCCATTAATCACTACTTAAGGCATTCACTCATTAGGCAAACAAACCAGATATAAGACTCGATATGAATGTCCGGTCAGTTTCGCCACCTGTACTAGTGATGGATATTTCCAAACAAGGATTTGATTTTGTGAATATCCATGAGTGCTGACCAGTTCTGACGCGTGTTTAGACCACGAGAGGTTACACACCTGCGAACCCGTGTCCACGCATTGCATCGGCTGTCCGGTCAGTGTATTCCAGAAACGAATACACCGGTCGGCAGTCCCGCCACCGCTGGCGAGCAGCCCGTGATGGTGGGGCGACCACGCGATCGCCTTCACGGCCGCCAAGTGCTCCGTATATGTCTGTACGGGTGTCGTAGAGCTCGAGTTCCACACAAACAAACGATTGTCGTTACCGCCCGACGCCAAGTGCTGGTTGTCTGGCGACCACTTCAGACCGCAAACCTCTTGTCGATGTCCTACGAGACGTCTCTCGCTTTGGTGAGGCGGTCCTCTGACGTCGCGCTGAAGGATATGTCGATCACGACTTCCAGACGATACTATCGCGAGAGAGACAAAGCAAACATCGAGTCACACGTCAGACCCACTCATCGCTAATCAATGTTATACGTGTGTCTGAATTCCAGGCCAATGCGCCCACACGTGCCGTATGTCCCTCTAATGTTGTGAGCCGTTTGTTGGCCGCCACGTCCCACACCTGAACCAAACCTCTATGCGTTCCCACAGCAACCAAATGGCCCTAAAATGTTCAAACAATGAGTTAAATCACGCTTTTCTTAGTTATTCAGATAATAAATGACAGACCCTTTCAGCCCATGAAACAGATGTAACGGAATCGCCATCGGCTGAGAGATCGCAAAGACGTGTCACTTGAGAGGTACAGGCGCTCCATAAGTAGACACAAGTGCCTAACCCGACGCTCAATATGTTGGTTGTGGACCAGTCGACTAAATTCAAGTAGAAATCGTCCTGAAGTTCCGGTGCGTCCAATACTTTGAACGGAATCTTTGATATCTTTCGTGCGGTCTTTCGCGGAGAGCGCAACAACTTCTGGCTTTTGCTGCTCACCGGCGACAGTGAGTACGGACTCGTCGGCTCATTCAGACTATCGCTCTCTCGCACCCGATACTAACCATTTGGATAATACAACCAATCATTAAATGTCTATTCAATGACACTATTGTGTGGCAATTGTCTCAAGACTTACCCGAAATAGGTTTTTGCTTTCGAGGGGCAGAAAGATTTTGCGCTCTTCTGTGTGCTCTTTCATGTCTTCAATGCCAGCGCCCAGTAATTCATTCTTCAGAAGACACTGGTATGCGATGCCATCCTTATTGCTCTCCGATATCGACTCTTTGGCCGTCTTCTTAGCCGACACTGATTTGGAGCCATCCTTTTGGGTGAGAACACAAAAGACACGTATAATAACATTGGTTGAGATGTGGAGGAATGGCAGACAAACCTGAATCATAGTGAATCTGATGTCCCAATTGGGAGACTCGCGGATAGGAGTGTATCGATCGCTGTACCGCTCGGCGCTGTTCACCACTGAATCCAAGCCATGACTTCTTAATGGCTGTAATGAATAGCGAAAACAATGAGACAATAAATTCAATTCAAATAACATTTGGTCACAAATTCAATACCGAATTCAATGGCGTTATGTTTGAGTCGTTTGGCTG